ATATATATGTAAAAAAAGACATTTCCAGGTTGGCACTCCAAGTGTCAAACACACAATAATTTTGCATGGTTAAGTAATAAAGCCACAGGGGCAGGAGTGACAAGAAGAGAGGTAGAAGTATTACTACAGCAGAAGCACCAGCTACTCTTGTGCCAGATTCTGGAAACATTACTTGCCTTAACTCCACTGAGAAAAACTGCTCGTGATAGTAATCACTCCAGCACTGCCTATCTGCACAACCAGCCTTCTAGTTTCCAGATGATCTCAAAAAAATCACGCTGCCCTTCAACCCACTTGCCTTTTGTAACATACACATATTGTGACACATCCCTTAAAACCAAACAAAACTCCCACCAAAACATTACACACACCACTTTCCCCTTGGCAAAGGATGAAAGAACAAGCCACATGTGAAAGATACTTAGTTATGCCATTTACTGCACTACTGGCAGGCACACAGTCATGATAGTGATGTGAGCAGCGTAACAAATGGCACAGAATAAAAATGTAACTTACCAGATATGCTTCTAGAAAGCATATGACAGGAGTCCCTATAAACCACTGATGATTTTCTATTACTTTTGTTAATACTCACACCAGCAACACATTGCATTTCATTAAGAAATATAAGGAGAAGGGACAGATGAATCATTTTCCTCTTTATTGGTTCTTGTACTGCTCTCCTCAGGGCTATCCTAGAAGGATTCTAGGGTTTGGTACTGCATTGTAGCACTGTTTCCATTTTGTAACACATGCTCAAAGGAGCTCAGAAATCTACACACAAGGTAAAGAAACAGACTGGTAAAATAAATGCTGTTTTAAATGAAAGGGGGATGCAGCGCTAGCAAAGGTATCTTCATGTCAGGTATGTTGCAGGAAACTTGTATTGGTCACATGCAACTTCAAAATTTGCATTCCCCACCTAATTAAAAAAATATCTGGAGCTCTGAAAGTGTCGTCTTGTTTTCTACTTGCTTTTGTTGTATATGTTGACTTCCAAGTAAAATATTTCGCACAAAAATTAACTGATTTTAGAGTTCTGTTGTAATGTGACTAAAAGACAATCCAAAAGGCAGTCCTCATTTGATCATCTACATATTGTCTAATATAAAGCTGTAGAAATACCCTGTTAAAGAGATTATTTTTGATTTTCCAGATTTCTAATGTCTAGTTGACCTATTAGATACAGAGGGAATAAGCCTTGATTTGACATCAACCAAGAAACACAGCTAAGATTTTTTTTAAGGTGAGTCGTTCATATGCACATTCACTCCACTGTTCGTATAAGATCATATATGCTAAGGACTTTTTAAAAACCACAGCAGCATCCAGAGTCAGCTTGCTGATGACCCTCTGCCATGCACTGCACCCACAGTGGATGCTGGGAGCACTTACGCCCTTAGTTTCTCTCCACCCTCATTCCCAGGGTTAGGTGATTATGGGATTAGGAAGATAGAGGGAAAGTAGCTGGTTTGTGAACAGGCACAAGAAATATCTGTCTAGGAAACAAATATCTACTGGCAAGTAATCCTCCTTTCTCTTTGAGTGACTGTCAATACATACATATTCACACTGTGGGTGACTCTAAGCACTCTTTCACTAAGCACACAGGTTACAGGCTTGATAGGAATATCCCTGGAATACCTCTGCCAAATGGCACGTGCCTTCCAGCGTCTGATGGCAAAGTACTTGGGAAAGGAGGCTCCAGATGGCTGATCTGCACACCTTAGGGAAATGAAGTAACAAATTCTATGGAAAGTCTCTGAACTTCCACAAAGTCTAAATTCAAGATTTTGCCTTGTCCAGATAAAAAGATAAAGCAGACTAACATGTAGTGAATAGAAAAATGCTTCATCCCTGCATGCATAAAAGGTTAATCTCTTGGTTTAAGCAGATCACAAGACAAGTGAAATGGGTAATGTGACTCTTTAAGCCTGTAGGAGAAAGTCTGCCTTAAACTCCTGAACCTCTGCCATGCTCCCAAGCTCCTGGGGTGGCCACCAAAAAGGTCACATTCACTTAAGGATGCAAAGCATACAAACAGGCATAGTCTCAAAGAGCTTTCTAAAATGAGATGGCAGCAATGAAAGTTCCATTGAGGTCTCAAAGTAGAAGAGATGTCCTAAACCGTAAGTGAATATACTGACAGCCAAATGGGAAACAAACAGGGCAGCCTTCTACGGTAGGGCAACAGGGTGAGAACAGCTACAATATTGTGTAGCTTCAAAATATAGTACAAAACAAAGGGAAATCTCCCCAAAACAGTAAGGTCTGCTTCCTATGAAGACACATTGATCGAGTTAGACATAGACATACATAGCAGCTTCCTGCTGTTG